CTAATTTTTAAGCTAATTTTAGCTGGAAGTTGCTCTACTCCCTCCTCCCCGCCTGTTATACTCAGCAGGTGAGTATAACAATTCTGTCATCTTACTCACTGTTGAAAGCTATGGCATTCAGGACTGTTACTGGAGAGCAATGTTTTTCAAAGTAAAATTAAGATTAGGTGGTCTGCCCTTCAACTTCAAATTCAGTCCTTCCCTGCAGAATAATTCTTCCAAAATAAAAAAGCCCACGCAAGTAACTAGCATGACTATGTAATCAGCCCAAGAGTGGTGCCAGAGAATAAGAAACTCCTCTGTCTCTTCTAGAAATGGTCTATACCAGTCATAACAGCACAACAGCAGAAGCTAGCACTGCCCCTTGTGGGCTGGGCTGCTGGTTCTCTAGAGAGATGAAATGACTCAGCCGTGACAGTGGTTTCTCAAGCGGTGGTTGTTATCTTCTTGCTGTGTGAGAGAAGGGCTCTGCTGACAGAATTTGCTTCCTGATTTGGAGAAGACCGAGAACTGTCCTTCTGGGAGCATCCTACACAAAGGCAACAGCTGCATGCATGTCTTGAAAATGAACGTGTCTTATCTGTACAAAGAAGCTGCAAGTCCAGGAAGGCAAAGTGTTAGTAGTACCTTTAAGAACATCTGACTGTGAAACTATTTTTAGCTTTCTATTCCTAAGGGGCCTTGAAGAAACTTCTCAGTCACTAGAGCCAAGGCTGTGGTGAGAACACACTGGAATGGAATCAAGAATCACACCTTCCCCTCCTCCCCCTTCCACCTGACAGTGATCTTCTATTGTTGCTATAGTGCTGCTTTTTACACGCCAGAAAACCACGAATTGAGCAAGCAGACTGGGAGGTGATGGCAGCCCCAGATGAAAAATATCATGGCAGGGAGAAGACTGAGGAGGGAAGATGGTGATTGAATGAGAAGGAGAGGTTGCCCATGGAACCCATGAATGGGAAAGAGAAGAAAAATTGGCTGTAGAGGCAAAAGGACAAATAACCCGATCGCAGAAAGCAAAACAGAAGGAGGTACTCACATTTCAATGGGGGGAATTGACTGTCCCAGCCAAAACTGGGCCTCTTTTCATGTCATGAACTCCATGTCAGCCTTCCCTTTACAGGTGCTTTTAACTGCCAAACACTGCACTCCATGTATGCACCAGTATCTTTTCTCACTGCTGCATTCTCCCTTACCCCAACAATCCAGAAATAAGGTTTGGAAAGTTTGTTTTTTCATGGGAGGATCACTGGCTAATTACATGATGAACTGCTGGAGACAGCCAGACAGACTGGGGGCTGCTGACAGGACAAAGATCCCTTCTTCTACTCCCAGAGCCAAACCAAACTCAGGCCAGGTGAAATGAAAATGAAGTCATTACTGTCTCATAGTGGATGAGAAGGACTGGAGGGTCCTGTGTGAGTTCATTGCAGATAGGTAATCCTTGCACAGAAACCACCCAACGCAATTCCCAACAACTGGTCCCTTTGCCAGCAGTCCCAGTGCAGAATGCTCCCCATCTGGAATGCTCCACTAGCACTAAACAGACATGAGTTGAAAAAGACAGGTGAAACATCCTGAATACAGAGGGACACTGAGAAGTGTGGCTAATAAAACCCTGTTTGAAAGGGCAAAGAACAGCTAAACACGGAAGGGACCTTCTTGAGTTCCGAAGACCTCTGCCTTGTCTCTCAGCACTACCCTTGCCTTAGTATATCCAAGAGGCAAGAGATGCCAGCACCAACCTGAACATAGGATTTTGTTCCTGTACTTGCAGAAAGAAACAATGATGTTCTTAGGGTCAGAATATGTTTATCTGTGCAGATGATGGGTGTTGTGGTTTAACCTGGCAGGCAGCTAAACACACAGCCATTTGCTCACTCCAAAACATAGCCCCATACTAGCTACTATGAAGAAAATTAACTCTATCCCAGCCAAAACCAGCACAATGGGAGATGTTAAGGGACAGAGACAATAGAGTGAATTTAGCCTTTAATCTTTACTTTTTCAACTGCTGTGCAAACACTAAGTTGCTGTTCCTCACATCAGCCCTTGTGAGAGGTAGATATTTGTAGCTGCCATTTCACAGAGAGGAGGCAAACACATGGGGTTGTTCAAAGCCACACACATATGTCTATGGCAAAAGCAAGAGGCAAATATGAGAGTTTCTACCTCCTGCCACCGAACACGGTGTCCCAGTCTGCGCTCTCCTGCCTCAGGAAGGCTGGAGTCTTTCCCCAGGAACAAACCCAACATGTTAACTAAAGGAGGCTTCCAGGTAGGGGAACCACAGCTGACACACGAAGTTGTGACTCCAGGGAGCATTTAGGCCCATTCCTCATCTTTAACTCTTGTAATTCAGTACACGCAACTGCATCAATGCACCATTTGTACTGTTCTCTGTTGAGACGGAAGGCTCTGTACTACCTAAGTACAAATTGAACACTGGCAACCTAAGTCCAGCTTAAAAGGCTTTCATTAATAGCAGGAAAAAATGTCATTGTTGCTTTGCTTGCCAGCTCAGCTCCCTCATCTTTAACCAGTCTATCTTTTCCTTTGCCTTCCCAAGGAGTGCTTAGGATAGGTTAGGGTTGCATATAACAGTGCACTACCAGTTCACTACTACTCCAAGAGCCGTGTGAAACACTTGCTCAGCAGCCAGACATCCCTCAGTAAGAAAGAGAAAGAATTTTATTTCTTCTTTTCAGTCCATGCCATTTGTCAAACTGTCCTTTTACTTTCCAGGCTGAGATCAAACAAGCTTTTCATTAGGCTTAAGTCTGCTAAGATCATCAGCAGGATCTCCACATGAGAAGATTTTATTTGTTTTTTCTTGGTTAATGCATTCTGGAACGGAACGGAAAGGAATGGAAAAAGAAAGCCCACTTTCTCTTATCATAAAATATATAGTGCCCCTGATTCTGAGTGAGATATTTTAAGTATGGCACTTTGGAAACCTTCAGATACTTACAGCTTCAACAGCTTTCAATCCAGTCTTTATGTTGTTGACTTCCTTCTCCAGCTCTACCAGGCTGCACAGGAGACAGACACAGAGCAGATAAAACAAAAAGAGCAGTGTTACACAGGAATACAGGAACTGTGTAGCAGAACAGACCATTGGCCCATCAAGTCTGGTATCCGGCCTCTGGCACCAGCCATGCCAGATGATTAGAAATGAGGGGAAGGGGGTCTGCTAATGTTCTGTGCTGCTTTTTGTATGAGATGTAAGATGAGGCGGACCCTGCTCGCCTGTGGTCACATTGAAGATTGGGATTTTCCTGTGAAGAAGAGGGGGGTTGCCCTCAGAACATCTGCCCCATGAGCTGAGCCTGACCCTCCAGCAAGGAGCATATGCCACATAGCCAGCTTGCAGTAATCAGCTGACACATAAGCAAGGACCTCAGCTTTAGCACACACATTACTGGGGTCTCAGATTATCTCTACATATGATTCTTGAACCACTTAACTACTAAATCCCATTAGCAGTACATTTACATGTGATTTTTGTCTTCCTCACAGTTCAAACATTGTTTTTTCCATCTGCATTTCTACCATATGGTAGTCCTTGCAAGCTTACATTGTAACTGAGCATATAACCCTACTGTTAATGTTAACACATGCTTCCCTAGACGTGTTATACTGGATTTCTGCTCATCGTATACAAACAAGAGTTTTTTTCTAGGACTTGTATGAAAAAAAAAGACTTTTAATTTCCAGGTAACTAGTTAGGACCTATTTGTGAGTCAGCAGGCATCTCCTCCAAGTATTTGGTGAGTAGTAGTTTACATCTCAAAAACACCACTAAAGCCTTAATAAATGCCTTTAAGTGTGAACCTACATTTATTTTTCAGTTGTCTTTCATTAGCTCGAGTAGTTCCCTGTACAAAGAATCATGGCTGGGCAAATAATATGCAAAGGTATTTTTGAGCAGTGCTTTGGAAAGAAAAAAACGCTGGTATTTTGGGGGGATGGCTTGTGTATTAATTTTCCACAAACACCTCCAGAAATGGAAAAAAAATCATTGAAATTTGTGCAGAAAGCATGATGCTTTCCACATTTCTGTGCAAGACTGATGTGTGCAAAAGTTTGAACAATCTTCCTGAAAAGGGCTTACTATAGCCTCTCTGCCTGATTGACTCTGCCTTAGAAACAAACCTTCAATTATCCAGAAAAAATAGCACGCAACTTAGATGAACAACCATAGAATATGGTGAGTGAATTACAACCACCCACCAGTCTAGTTACAATGTGTGATTCAGAAATACAGTAGAAGTAGGCATATCTGAGTAAAGCTGTCGATTTAGTTATCTACAAATGTTTTTGGACCAAAATTATCTGTTGATGTACATCGGAATAACATCAAGGATGTGAGCAAAGGTATTTCAGCTGTAAGGCTGGCCATGAGTTTAGAAGACAGCAATGAAAAAACTGATGATCATTAAGTTAACAGAAATCACTGGGAACTCCAGCTCTGGGAACAGGCAATAGCACTGGACTTACTTGACTTTTGCTGCTTCTGGAAGATGCTGCAACTCAGACTGAATATCTAAGATATCTGGATAATTCTTTTCAAAGATCATAATTAAGTAGTGCAACAGTGTAATGTTCCTAAAAAAAAAAAAAGGGAGAAATGAGAAGGAAGATGGTGGTGAGAAGGAAAAGGATGCTGGGAGGATTGTGACAAATCAGTGAAAAATATTTGGGTAGGAAATGTGCTTGAATGAACAAAACTAACAATATATCAACAGTTAGCAGCTCTGTTATTGAAAGAAAAGTATCACAGACTGAAATGAATTAGCCCTTTATGAACCATCTTTCCTAAAACCTCAAGCAATATATTGTGCCTTGATTTATTCTGGAAGCACCAGCATGCTTCCATCCATCTGTGTAGATCGTGTAACAGAAAAGCAAATTGTGTAACACAGTATACTATTTGTCCCCAGATACTTCAGCGAATAAACAACTAATAGTACGAAAGTGACATTAACTCGTAAGGGAGAAGTGAGTTGTTCTCAGAGGCAATGTGGAAAAAACCTAAGAGTTAACTAAGAAGAGGAAAAGGTTCTTGAAGATTGAAGAAGCTGCAAAGAAAACTGCTACAGTAATGAAACAGCGATACTTATGAGTTGTGGTCAGGCTCACTACTACAAAAGCAATGGCAGCTCAAGTAGGAGTGGATAGAAATGAGATGTATCAGAGATGCAGGAGAAGGTTTAAGAAAATTTGTAAAGTAAATGATGAATTTTGCATGTAGAGAGAACAGCCAGCCATAACAGCTACTTGAGGTGGGTGTTATGTCGTTAACTGACAGGCAAGACAGCAGATGGCCACTGCTTCACACAGACTAGAGCCTGGGAGTTGGGAACTGGTGAGAGAACAGAATCTGCACAGGACATTTAATATATGGAAAACCAAGCCAAGCTACATTAAGGCAAAAAAATGTTCAACATTAGCTACACAAGTGTTAGCCTTGGAATACAGAAAGGACATCATGGTAGTCAAAACAGAACTCTGTTAGTTCAAACTCTGTTAGGTAGGGATGAATTTCCGATGGCTTCTTACTGCCATTATTCATTCTGTCACAGCCTGAAGTCATTTCACCACAACTATGGTCTCAGCAGGTCTCACGAGTCAAGGAAAGTGCGAGTTAGTAAGAGCTGGTATAGGAGATCTCCAAGGAAAACCTTAGTGCTGCTGGAGCCCAAAAGTGGTATTCTCTCCGCAGTCACAGCTGTTTAATTTCCAGAACCAGTATGAGGATGCGGGGCAAAACGTAGGGTAGCACTATAAAGACCTGCAGCCCATGTCCATAAATAGTAAGCTCCACCTTCCCAAAACCAGCTATTTTCCTTAGCTGCTCTAGATACAACGAGGCTCAGTCTCTCTGAGCTATGCCGTGTGGGTCCATTACTGGTGTAGGTAGAGAGCCAGTTTATGACAGTTCTGCGTCAGAAACATATGCCATGTTTCATAGGAGATACAAAACTGTGGTCAGAGTTTTTTGTTTTCTTTTTTGCAAAACCATGGCCATAAAACTTCGGTATAAAGGGCAAATTCCATAGAAATCCTCCTCCCCCCCCAACTTATTTCAGTTATTTGTGAAATACTACATTTTGTCATCTTTGCATAGTGTTGCAGAAACACAATCCAGCAACAGATGCGCATTACCCAGCAGAATTTGAGTGCTGTGTTAATAGCTGGTCTTAACTGCTACAGGATCTTTTAGAGTGAAAAGCACTACTTAAATGCCAAATAAGACATTATTTTAAATGGTCTGCAGAGCTAAAACCAAACAAAAACCACTTTCATTACTGTGCTGCTGATAAGAGATGCAGCAGCACAGTAACTAATTCATTTACGGCCTTCTAGCCTACCTGTCTATGCTGGATTTGGTGTCTGCAATTTTGTTCAGGCTGGAGACTTTGAAGCCATATGCACTTCCCCTTTGGCCCTTGTTCATATAATTCCCAAAGGCCAGAACTACCTCCAGGAGTTGCCTCAAACGCTTGCTTCGGATGAGTTCTTTGGATGCCAGAAGAATGGCTTGAAAAGAGAAAAAAAATGAACAGGTTATTGCACAGTGTGTGGTCTTAACAATTATGCGTGGGCCCATAATTTTAAGTACCCTAAAACGCCCATTTGACTATTGCCCAGCAAATGCTGCAACACAGTCTGTGTGTGCACTGTCCTTCCCACGCCCATACACCCAGAACCAGGACAACTGGAAGGAAGATGCACTACATCTAGCCTGCAGGATGCTCTTCTGAACCCAGGAGCAAGGCTATTCTCCTGGAGCTCACGTTCTAAAAACATAGCCAGCGAGAACAGGAGGAAGGCTTGAGCTCATCTGAAAATGCAGAGTAGAATACACTCACCTCTTCTCTGCGATAAGCAGAAGCCATACACCCCTGCTCCTTGTAAGTTACACATTCCCAGAACTCCACCATCCTGAGGCATCTATTCTAACTGCCCCATGGAGAGGGAAGGTGCAAGGACTTGGGGGTGAGAAGGGAAGGCTGACCTGCACAGAAAGGCCATGAAAGGTTTTGGCACCTCAGCACAGCCTGGTAGCACACTGTCACATCTGTCAGGTCATATTTACAGTGTAACAATCATGAAACTGACTTATTAAGTCAATGGGTGCAAGAAGAGTGTCAGACAGAATTCACTTCTTAGCACATGACATGCTTTGGACCTACTGGCTCTACAACCATAGCACGCATGTAACAGCACCTCCTTTGAAGACAAGTCTCTCTTGACCTTCCCTGCCCCTCTACCCAACTCTTAGAAAAAGCTTTAACCATACCTTCCACTTTTGGTTTTGCTTCTGCCAGCCTCTCTGGAAACTTCTTCTTAAAGAATAATGCTTGCAGCCGCTGCTGATAGTGGTCAATCCTGCATGAAGGGTAGAGGAAAGCCAACACTGAACTGGAACTGTATTTTGAAGCCCAGGGCCAGTATGCTGCCTACATAACCTAATGGTTGGATATTGAGCCTCACACTGCCTGTGCATGGGATTACGGACATAGTTCAAACATCTAACACTACATAATCAACCTTATTATGAATATGGAGGAACTCAAGGCATGTTTTGATCACAACTGAAAAGGAGCTGGAAGAATTCCCATTACTCTCAAAATAACGAGAGTCATGGGAGATGCCAGCTGCATCTCAATTAGCAAAACAAAATGTTAATCCTGATTGGGGATGTAGCAAAGTTGGAACAAGAAAGAAGGTCACAGGACGAGGAGATGGGATAGCTGAAGGGAAAAAGAGATCTGTATGAAATCCTGACCCCTGGCTACACTACATCTGATAGTTGGATCTGAATTCCTTTTTGTGTGAACAAGCTTAGGCAGAGAAGGCAGATTTCTGCTTGTCATCAGGGGACTGGTCCTTAAATGACAGCACGGAGAGTGCTTATCATCAATAAAAAGTTTGTGTAATGAACTGAAATATTTGTAACATTTGTGGGCTTCTGGCAAATGCAGGGTATAATGCTGGCCCACAATCTCTTGCACATTCCCCCTCAGTGCCAGATGATCCATTTTCAATAACAATTACAGCTGCTTCCAAGAAGCCCTCCGTGCACTTTTCCCATAATGTAGCAAACAGACCTGCTCATTTCAAAGAGGAAACGATCCGCCCGGGCCATGCGCTCAATTTCGTGTTTATGCTCCTCCAACAGGTCGGTATCGCTCTTTTCGGGAACGAACTTCAGCAACTAGAGTGACAGACACAAACCAAACACCGAGATGAGAGATCTCGGGAAGAGGAGAGAGGGATGGAGAGGCAAAACAAACCCTGATGGAGAGAGAGAGGGCCCTCAGATTTCTCTGCTACCATGGGGAAGCATTACGTTCACCCAGCCGTGTGACCGTAACTTCAAAAAAGTGCAGCTGTGGCTACAAAACTGACCTTTTTTAAACCTTTGCTTGCTGTTCTGTTTTTATCCCTCACTGACCCCATTAGATTAATTTTCAATTCCAAGGGGGAACTTCCCATTTCTAAATCTAAAGGCCAAGTGCTACTGCAGCTTACTCAAGGGGAAGTACAGAGAGAACTTTGATTCCCACAGCATTACTTGGAGTTTAGATTGATTCAGACGAGCAGGATGTGTCCCACTCAGCGTGAAGTACCCATCGTGCCTATTCTAGACTACACACAAAGGCTCATCTATCTCCCTCTTGGTCTGCCCCACTCTGCTGAAACAATAAACAATAACCAAGTGACTGGATATGTGTCTGACACTGGCTGCTATTCAGATGCTGACCTTAAAGCTCATACTTTGACAGATTTTTGACATATCTGGTGGTAGTTGTGCTTTAGTATGGTTATAAATATTGCCATGCACACAGCCTCAGCACACACCCACAAAAACTGCTCACAAGGCATATCAAGCACTTTGCTTTTTACCACTTTTAATATTTTATCCCACTCCCCAAAAATGCGATATTCAAAGGTGTGGAGCATTCGAAGCTTACAGTGACTTCTAGAGCTGTTGTGAGCATTCAGATAACATGACAAGTAGGCTATAAATTTCCAAAATGGAAAAGCTTTTTGTACACGATTAAATACTGTGACTGCACACAAAGAAGGAATCACATTTGTCAGGCAGTTCAGAATTATAACATTTTGTGCACTCCTAAGGAACTTTATCGTATGCATTTTTGGTAAAAGCAACATCTTTCACCCTCTATAAATGGGGGAAATTGGGCAATGGTGGTTTAATTGTTTTGGGGTCTGCCCCCCCCCCCCCTTATCTCCCCCCCCTCCCCCCAAGCTACACAGTAAACCAACTGCAGGTGACAGAAGTCCCTGACTCCCTTTTTAACCATTTGAGTTAGAATGCAAGATCTCTTCTAGTCCCAGCTCTAACCATTGACCTACGTGGCCTGGTTCATGGTGTTTCCCAATGGAAAAGCTGCAGACAGAGAAGGGAGAGAAAAAGGAAAAGGAAAAGGAAAAAAAGGAAAAGAGAGAGAGAGAGAGAGAGAGAGAGAGAACAACAAAATATAATCAGCAGTATAAAGAAGAGATGGGAAAAATTATGGGAAAGTCACAGGTGAGAAGAGAAGACGTGAAAGGAAACCTCATACCAACTGTAATCATGCATATTTTGCATCAAGAAGAGAAAACTGTTATGAAATCAACCTGATACAAATAGTTACACGAGGGAGGTATATTTGACAACATTGGGAAAAATACTTTTCTCATGCTCCCATGTGCAGCTCTGCTGACATGAAAGGACCAAGTTCAGATCTGCAGACATAGCAGCAGAGACAGTACATATATCCACCTACTTTAGGTGAAAAAAAGGCAGTGAAGGACTTCAGAATAAGATATATCTGACTGTAATCTTTCTCACCTGCTCAAGCATATCTTTTGCTAGGTCTTCTTGTTCATCCATCTTCAGGATTGCTTGTCTGATTTCTTCATTTGACAGCTTCAGCCTTTCAACAGGATCAACATTGTACCATTAGTGCAAAGCTTAAGTGACTGACAATTCAGAAAGTAGGAAGCCTGAAAAGCTGCACTAAAAAGGCACAAAAGAACCATGGGAAGCTCCACTATGAAGCTGCTGTTCTAGAGTATTCAGTAAGATGAATGAATCAGTTCCAAAGGCAGAGATTTTCTAGATCATATATTTTTATCCTCTTCAGCTAATCAAACACACATCAGAAATTAGATGGTGATTAAGAACAATCAGGACCTCATAGATCACAAGTGCTTCCAACTTCCCCCATATCAGATACCTCACTCATCAAGTTCTTTTGCTATACTAAACTCCCTCAAATCCATGTTACTCGTGACTGTGAGCCCACATTACACTTCTGCTTGTGCATATTAAAGGATCTCCCAGAGTAACAAGCAATAGGACTGATCTTTCCCTTACAGATCTGAGAAAAGGGTTTCTTGTAAGGCTGGTTGTGCTAGGTAAGTTCACTCTGTCAGCAGTCACAGCTGAAGAAGGAATTGACAGCATCTACATATCTGCGATTCACATCCAATACGAAACAAGCACTGAAAACAAGATCTTTATTAATAGTATCTGAGGTATTAAAATTACACTCTCCTTCCCACCTACTCCTGTCCATCTGTGTGCAATGAGTAGGGGTCATCAGTTACAACAAAACACAGAATCAATAAAAAAAAACCCTCAAGGTCTCCACTTGAAATCCAGGGCAGACCAGAAGCAGTCAAAATTTGTGATTATTGAGAGGCTGTTTGATAGGTTACATGAAATGAACTTGATGGTTCTCAGCGCAGATGCCAATGAACAAATGTGCAATTGACAAATTCTACCCCACCACCCCCAACCCATGACACCCTCATCAGTCATTTCAGGAGAGCAGAGGAGGACCAAATGAACCATAAAGGAAAGGCTATCCACAAGAAAATCTCGATTTTGGGACTGAAACAGGAAAGCGTGAAAAGAAATACTTGAGGAGTGAAGTCTGCAGTCTCCATGGACCTTCTACAATCAGTATAATTAATTAACAGCAGAAAGAGAAAATGCAAATATAAATAAGAGACAGGCTGATGCATGAGGCAGAATGTTTTTGTCTTCAGTGCTAAGAAATTCCATGTTGAAATTTCACATTGCTATTGCCATTTGGATAGAATCATATTTTTGGAACTAGGTAAAAGCAAAAGAAAGAGCTTTATTTTTACAGACAGGAAATATTACTAAATCTAAGAAACTTAAAACATTTTAATATTGCCCAATATAACCAACAGCTGGAAACTAAAATACGAATCAGCAGACATTCAAAAGCTTACACCTCTTAACTAATTGCTCTCACTCTCTTCCTAGCTTGTCATTGTGTCTGCTTTTGACAAGGAGGGCAAACTGATACCAGCCAAGTAAGATAAGGCTACTGAATTTCCAGAAAAGCTACATAATTGGGCCATGCTCAGATGAGATAGAAGGATTAGAAGTTTTACAATGAAAAGGCTGGAAACTTTTTACTTTAGGTCATCAGTTTGACTTGGGATCAAAAGAACAAACCTCAGTACATGGGTTTCTGCATAAAGCTCTACAGTCTCAGTCAGAAAACTGAAGGGTTTCTTTTGGCTTTAATGATCATGAATTGAAAAGTCCATGGTTGTGTGACCCTGAACTGATCAAACCCGGTGACCACAGGAGGGCTGAGCAGCATATTGGTGGGTGTGGGCCTGGCTCCTAGCAGACACGTATACATATGCCCAGAGAATTTGGTGCCTGCAGTTTTTGAAGTGCTACATTTTGTTGGTTATTTTTTCCTTTAGAGACCACCTTTACATTTTCCAGAATCTGGAGTCCACAGATGAACTGTGTCTTGTGACACAGGTACACAGTCTGTCAGAGGGGATGCAATAAGCCAACCCATGAACACCAGGGTGTGGGGGTTTTTGTTGCTACTTTCACTGAAGATAAAAAGAATGAGGGCGAGTTTCATGTTTTTTCCATGCAAATAACTTGAATAATTACTACAGTGACCACCAACAATTACACAGTGCAAGTCCCTCTGTGTGTGTTAGGGCATGCAGTAAACATGATGGAATTGACAGGTTTGAGGTACATCAACACAACAGAAGGCATAGCGCATATTATTGCTGATCTTGCTGTTCTGTCCAGGAGCCCGAGGACTTCAGACTCCAAGCTCCTCTGTTTGCTGCCATTCATCAGCACTAAATACACTTGAAAACATCTTCTGTTCAAAAATAATTGACAGCCCCAAGGACAGACAGTTATACAAACACTTTGATTTCTTGGATGATTCTGTGCCCTGCCATCAGCAGAAAAACATCTGGTTTGAATGGTTTAGCCCACAGTAGAGAGAAGCAGAACGCTTGCCAGCCCCCTGCTGAGAAGCAGTTTAACTTAGTCACTTAGAGGCCTGTAAGGAGGTCACAGTGCCTGCAGGTGTGCATCCTAGGTTATTACCAATCCAATTACAAGTACAGAAGGATTTACAGCAAAACAATCTTACTCTTCCAAAGTGGGCTTGTTCCTCTTCTGGGGCAGGATGTATTTCAAGAGCTGTAAGCATCAACAGCACAAACCAGGGATCTTCCCAATTAAAAACTGGCTGAATAACTAGCCAAAGAATTGTTAATCAAGTGATTCTTGTATTTTCAAAACTCATGCCCAGCCATGCAGTAGATCTTAAAGATGGCCAGCAGTAATGTGAAACAGATGTCCTGCTTTTAAACAGAAACAGGTGAACTGATTAAAGAGGAACCTAAAGCAGATGCGTAAAATCTTTCCATTTAGAACTGAATAGAGGCATCCCTCAGAGCCTAAAACTCATATGGGACAGACAGCAAATTAAAGTGGAATTATGGCCCAAAAATTTACACTACAGAAATTACATTTCAGTATCTATTGGACAGTCTGCAATTACTTTCTTACAAGCTTTGCAGATCCATGCACTTTTCCTCCAGCTGCTGGAGACAACCCAATTTGGAACAGCATACAATTCAAGCTGTATTCTCTTTGCCTGATGCTTCACCAAATCACAGATCCTGGCACCAGAACTCAGGAAGTGAATGTGACCAGAAGAAAACACAGTGCCCCTTTCCTCAGCTGCAGCACATTCATTCATAGCGCAGATATTGACTGTTTTTGTTCAACAGCAGCCTGACACTGGTCCGATGAGGAAGGAAAAGGATCTTTACTGAGAATACTCCCTCCTTCTTCCCTCACCCGTGCATCTGGTGGCAGCATATGGAAGTCCAACTGCTTGAGTCATCTTCAAGCAATGTTAAAGCTCAACAAGTACCAAATAACTTCTGATATGGTACTTAGCTTGCCTCCCTCTATCCCCTCCGGCTTCATAAATAATCTCTATTGACTCTGTAGAGTAATTCATCACTAATCTCCCCAGGACACCTCGGCTGATTTAACACCAGCTTCACTTGCAGACATCAAGTGGTTTATTGTTTCGTCCTCTCAGAGAAAGCCGGCAGCCTGACTCTGAACATGCCTGGGAGACATGTTGCAGTTTTACATCAACTTCCCTTACAGACATCCAGCACTCGCTCATTTTTCCTCCTTAAATATACCCATTGATTTAACTCACAGTAACCTCCCCCCTTCATTCCTCCCTCCCATGGATCAAAGCAGAATACTTGTCGCTCATTAACTATCTCCCCCTCAGAGGAAAAAGTGAGTTACTTCACGGGCTTGTCCTTGGATCTTGCTTAGCTTTGGAGAAAGAAGCATGCATGCCTACTACCAGAGAACCCAGAGTTTCATCGCAGCGACATTAAACTCCCGTACCACAGGGATCACATTCACACTCTTCCTTTTACCTTGGAGAAGGGGACTGATTATCATGTATCAAGGCCATTTTCTACCTCAAACTGAACTGAACCACAGTGTTTCCCAAAGATGCTACTACAGCAGTAGTAGCTGTGACAGTGAGAGGAACTGACTGATACTCAGCTGCCAGTTTGTATAGCTCACCCAAATCTTAGCTTTTACTGACTGCAGACTTCTCCATCTCCACAACTCGTTTCACGCAGGCTACTAGTCAATTCACTCCCAAATGTTGTGACTGGGACGTAAGCCTTCTCTAACTGTTGAGCTCTCCTAAGGCTCTGTACAACTGCCAAGCTGCAGGCTGTTAAATAGCTACATTTTGGGAATACTCGTTGTCACTACCCCATAAAGGCAGGAAAAGAAGATGTCTCCCTGCTTTCAGAAGCAGCGTTCAGGAGTCAGGCTGGTCTAACTGTACATTCACCCAGAAGACAGAAAGATGCAGCCACTCTCTTCACATCCTCTTATCTCAGCTGCCAACTCATCTTGTCAGTGAAGAAGACACTGCCTTAGCCTTTTGGGGATAACAGTTGGGACATTTTATGAGGTACATCTTACACCATTATATCAACACGTTGGGAAAAAAGACACCAGTGCCTTTTCAGCACTTCACTGCAAAAGCATTCAGCCAAGTGCATAAAGAAACAGGCTTTTCTTTTCTTTTACTCCTTCAGCAAAAGCTCATGAGTGACCAACCTACTTTGCATCCAAATACTCTCAGTTTCCTACCAAGAAGGATCTGGGGATGGCCATCTTTCTGAGCCAAGCAGAGCAAAGCAGGGCCAAACTTGGGAATCCCCAAATTACAGTGACATATTGATGAGGCAGTGGTTCATCTTTTATCTACCTACCTATTGGTTCCTAGTTGTGATCTAAGACAGGATGGCACCAACTGATGTGTTCTGTTTAACCTTTGGGTTTATCATACTCAGAATAGCAGGCAAAGCCATTTATTGTGGACCTTACCTTAAAACCAGAAAATCTCCCCAGGAACCCGGGAGGCACTGTTTATTGCCTAGTGTTTTTCAAGACAACACACTGAGGAACTGAACTGCTGAATCCAATGAACTGTTTCTGTATCAAGGTATGATCTGTACCCCAAAATATCATACTGCTTGGAATCTACCTTGAAATAAGGGTGAATGCTGTATTGTCACATGGCAGAAAGGCACACGGGGACTGGGGGCACAGCAGAGGCAGTACACGGCGACTGACACTGGCTGAACAGCTTGTCCTCTTAACGTCCGATCTGAAAGTGTTTAGAAGCACTGAGGAGGCACAGCTATGTGAAAGAAATACCCAGTATTTCTGTATCTTTAGTATTCTGGTCGGAAATGCTGCAAATGTCCCTTTTCTTCTCCCTTATTGATAGAGGTTTGAATAGACAATCATGAAAGCCACAAACATTTGGTAAAGCTGCCTGCTAGTATCTATCTACTATCATATTCACATTTAAAACTATTTTTGTGTAGTCAGATTCTGCCTTCTGCTACTACTGGTTTTATGACATTTTGCTAGCACTCCTACTGTTTCCAGCCTCTTGAGAGGGTTACTGCTGACTAGCTGGGCCACAGGAATAACAAACACATCTCAGAAGAACACTGACATAATGATTTTGCTGGAATTCATGCAAAACAACTTGCACAAAAAAGTTCCATAAGTATACATTCAGCCTTCTTCTGAGCAACGTGTCTTATAGAACTGGACCTCTGCAGAGCATTTCACAGAGCAAGACAGTAAGAGAGACATGTCTTAGGCATATTCTGCCAGGACCATTTAAGGTTCTGCAAGAACATTTAAAGATATTGTACAACAAAAACACTAGAGCAGCGAAAATACTACCCATTACTTAAATAATGGAGGCAGGGAGAAGCCATACTGGTGAGAGAGGTCAGAGAAATTTCCAGCTGCGAGGTGAAAGCAGGGAAACACAGGGATCTGGGATGATTCTTCCAGACCACACAAGTCTGACAGTAAATCTCCAGCCTGGTGGAAACTGAACACATCAGGAAATTCATGAGGGATAGAAGATTTCCAGTGTGACAGAAATAACTGTATGCTGGAAACACCATTAAGAAAGCCAGAATTGAGGCTGGTGAGTGCCTGGACTCTCCACAGACAGATGGTTCCATGTCCTGGTTCAATTATGGCCTACTGGAAATACTGTGAGATAAACTGATCTTGTGCCTATTCAAACCTTTACAGTTGGCCTATGGGACAGAGCTTCGTTCTGGATCCATCAGACTCCACTAAACAAGGGCAATTACATCCTTCCACTGCAGGAAAACTGAAAGATGCTGCTATCAAGTAGTTGAAATAGAGCTTTTTTTGTGAAAATAGAGATGAGAATGGGGAGGAAGGCTTACAAATCTGTTAACTGTCATCAACAATCAGCTAGCAATTCAAATTTCATCTCTTTTCAGTCTACCATTCTCCAGTCTCTCCGCGAAAGAAAGGAAGAGACATCTATTTCTCACTCTAGCTAGGTTTTGGCTTGTTGGACCATATGAAATATGAGCTCTGCCTGACCCCTTCTAACACAGTGTTAGTAAAACAAAAACATTTGAGTAGTGGAGGGAAAGAAAACCCAACCCATGCAGCTATTTTACTTTAAAGGACACGACAGTTTAGTGTAAACAAAGGGGGAATAAACTACAGGGATATATGCACAGTAAGAGTCAATTGGAAACAGCTGTTGGCAGATACTGTGGCAACCTGAAAGCTGGGGCTGCAGCTCAGGGTTGCACAAACTCTCTTTGTTTGTCACCAATTTTAAATCCCCTCTCATCGCACGTGTGTGCACACCCACATGCACACATGTGTAAGGTGCGCTGCAGGAGCAGCAAGGCCATGGCAGCAGCCAGGGATGATTTGGCTAGGAGTGTCTCTCCTTCAGGGTCTAACCTTAAGGAAGGAAGAAGTGGGGTAATGCAAAAAACTGCAAAGAGGCTGTAAAACCCTTTCAATTATTGTCTGCAGCCAATCCTCCCAATTGCTGTCTTTAATAGTAGTACCATATAAGCACAAAGAGCAGAAAAAGGCATGAATGTAGAGGTGCCATTTTAGTTCCCAAAGATATTTGCTTTTCTAGTTGCCTTTAAAAGGGAAGTTTGGGGAGGAATAGCAATCCTGGGCCAAGCTGTAAGACATTTCTGATATCCTGGGTGTAACACTATCTGTTACAAACGTTAAATGATCTAAGCCAGTGATAGCCCTGGTGACTGGCATTTCCTATAGCACAGCACAGCGAAGTTAACAGGGCACAATGCAAACTGGCAGGCTCCTTAGGGACAGTGAACTCAGTCTTCAAATCTCTATCATCCATGTTAGGCCTGCTAACAAGAAGATCAGGATATTTCCTAGTGGAGAAGTTTGCAGTCACAATACGCAGCTTTTCACCTCTGGTTTGAGTCCAGACTAGCAACTTGAGGTGGACTGGCTTCATGGCACACCTGGAGCGAACACACGCTGTGTACCCTGAAGTGCAAGGTTCATGCTTCAGTGCCACTTTGATGGAGGCAGCAGAAGGGAAGACAAACCACAGAGACTGTCCTTTCTCCTTTTTCCTGAGAGGAATCCTCTCACCATTTAGAGAGGATTCCTCTCAGGTTAAGAATGGGACAGACTTGCACGGTAGAAAAGGTGAACGGTGAAAAACATATACTGCTGTCATCCACACTGCTTTTGTTTTGGGGATAGAAAGTGTTTACAAATAAACATCTAGTGTCATATGAAGTCATGGACCACCTTCCTGTATCCTCCTCAGCCCAGCCACCTGCACACATTATGTTACCACTTCTAGGAAATGTTCCCTGTGCTTACATGAGTTAATCTGAACCCCAGACACACTTTAGCAGGTCTGTCAAACAGCATGAAAATCCTGTTGCCCCTATGCCTCTCCATCCCTCTGCCCCAGCCTGCAGTCAGCTGCCAACACCAGCAAAGACATGCACTGGCGAGTGCTGCAGAGAGAGAAATGTAAGCCTTCCCTCATTGCTGGTTTGGGGGGGGCGGGGGGGCGGAGCGGTCCTGCTGACATGCAGGCTAATGCCACATAAGTAGCATAATGAGAACCTCCATGGGTTTCACTAAGCAATGGAAAGAACTCACTCCAGTCCTGGTGGTCTGGCTGCAACTTTGCTTTTAACTGTTAGTTTGCTAGAGCAGACAAGCAATCACATGCATACGAACCCACATGTTCTACTGATCAGTGAAACAGTTTTATTGCTCAGTGCTGTCACAGCTTTCCCAGGATCTGGCTTCAGCCCTGCTGTCCTTCCTTTAGCAGGAAAGGCAACTTTCTCAGGTGGATCAGTGTCTGCACAAATTTGATGTTTAGTGACAGACATCCAGCCCAGTACTCATGTTGGTAGAAAGACATGAAAAGGATATAGAGGGACCTGATGTCACAGCATTTGAAGGCATTAGAGTCATTGCAGGAGCATGCAAAGGCAACTTCTGGTTTCCAGAACCTAATTTACAAATACAAGACCTAATTCTTGAATATCTCTTTTTACATTTACTACTCTTCTCACCAAGAGTCAAAAGTGACAAAGAAAAACACCGCTCCCAGCTCTGCTGTATTCCAGGGAGATGCTCAGAGCAACATTTAGAAAAAAACATACAGAACAGAGACAAATGACATACACAGAGCACGGGGGACACATCACTTACAGTGAAGTGCAAGCACTGCCAACGAGCTGCTTTCATCTACCTATGAGTACTGATAGTTTTCTGGTGATGAGTCTTCAGATACATCTTGGTGTCTATGCCTATTTAATGCACAAAATGTGTGTGTGCATATGTTTATTAAGTGAGCTAACACTTCAGAGAGACGTGCTTTTATGATACTGCAAGAGAGGTTTCTCTGAAGCTCTGTAGGTATTAGACAACAGGTCTAGGTGAGAAAAGAAACATGCCTGCTTGTTTAATTCCATCCCCTCTTGCCTCTACGTTGACCACAGGATATCCTGTGAGCTAAGGCTTAGCACACTTACTTGGAAAGGAGAATGACACAATTCTGGGCCCTCCGGCCGTCAATCACAGAGAGCTCTTTCACCTTTCGTGTGGAGAGGTAAAGGTCTTCTGTTGAACCCATCTCTTTCTGCATATAATTCAAAAGGGGGGGGGGGAACAATCAGTATCATGTTTCTCACCCAAGACTGATAGACTTAGCTGAGTGTAATGAACAAAACCCATCCCAACCTGGGAAAATCCACCCACATGGTGAGAAAAGGAGACAGGAAGGGCAGAAAACACGTAGGTAGATCCTGTATTACTAGACAAACAGAAGTCATTCATTACCACTTATAAGATCATCTTTGATTCTAAATACTGGACCTGATTCTGACCTATTGGACTCACTCTACCAACAGTTATGTTGTTGTTATTGTTATGTCATTGTGCAAAACCGGCATGACAGGGAAATTGGGCACATTATGGTAACGTCCACTGGTGTCACAGCATATCCTTCAGCAGATGCCTCCTGCAGGGGTTACACAGCATTCTTGAAAGGTTGCAGCCCAGTCAGGAAAAATCATAGAATCATCTCTTAAGGCTGCCATTGGACCAGACCAATCCATATTATATGAGAGATGCAAACAGTAGGGCAAGATGACATTTATCTTACTAAATATATCTTACTAAATGGTCAACATCTACATCTGAACTAGCCTCTCTTTTTAAAATTAATTAATACCTCTAATCGTACAGAAACCACCCTTTTTCAAAGTTCTCTGTATATCCCCATTGCCAAGTTCATCACCTGGAAAAAAACTGGAAAATCCCTGTCCAAAATGTTTGTCACAGCACACAGAGAGAAACTATTTGCAAACCCAGTCTGACCATCCAGAAGTCTCTGTCTCCTTGTTCTGCCTACACACCAGAGCCATGGGATTTGTTTCACTTCCAGAGATTGGCTTTCTGCAATTACTTTGAGTATCTTTTAACACCATTCCTTAAAGGGAATTAGAGCTAATGATAAAAGGTGTTAATCCTGGATAATAGCTCTCTAGTTACCAACAGAGAAGAGGGAAAATAAAAAATAAAAACAGGACAGTTTTTATTTTCCCAGCTAACTGCTGCTGGAACCTCTTCAAAAATGCCTTTCCATGATATCCATATTGTCATGCCTTGAGATTTTGAGACTTACCAGTATAATCTAGCTTTGAGTGCACCCATCAAACTAGCAACATGACTTCTTTCTTTGGACATAACAACAAGTATGCTAAGTCAGATCAAAAGGTCCATCTACCCCAATATCCTGTCCCTGAGAGTGGTCAACAGCAGATACCCAGGGAAAGGGGTAAGATCATGGCAAGCATACAGTGGTGCTTCCCAGAATTCACTCCCAGGACTCAAGGTTCTGCAGCTCAGGGCTTACTTATTTCAGTATGACTAATCCACTCCAAGAGATTTTGACACCCAAATATTTGAGAGTTAAATGTAAATCATAGATTCATACTGCTAGTTGTCATTTGAGTTCTTGGTACAATCAGCTACAATAAGCCTGTGTTGCTCCTGGATAGACAAAGGATTCCTACAATCACGTCCAAATGTGCTGCAGTGAGCCACCACCAATACTAAGTGGCATTTATAAGCAGGTACAATGCACCAGCTGAAGACACGCACGCAATAATTCTGCTGGATGTGCCCAAAGTGTCTAGCTTGGCAGAAAAAAATTGCAATGTTACTTGATACATCAAATAGTGTTTCCAAAAAAAGGAAAAATTGGGTATTGGGCAAGTTTATTATTTCTGAGAGAATAACAATACCAAAAAGCAGGGCACCCCCAGTATAATCTGGCATGTAGAGATGTCAAAGTTTTCCTGAGTTTCCTCAGTTTGTGGGGAGGAAGACAGGGGAATGGGGAGATAGGCAGCTGTTGAAGGTGAGAAAGGTACTTGTTGCTCTGTGCTCTTGGCATAAAAGCTTCATTGTCCCTCACTAGCTAATGCTTGCAGACAAGCACACCTGGTTAGTGTTAACCAGCACCCATCCCAAGGAAAAAACCAAATTGTTTCAGGGTTTGGCTGTGTGTGTGGGTTGGGGGTTTAGACAGCTTCCCCTAAAGCCATGCAGCAGGGATTGGTATAATAGTCTCCATTCCATTTCCAATTCCCCAACCCGCAAGGTTCAACACAGATGAGTAACTTGAACTATTCAGATGTGGCCCACTCCTTGGTCATAAGGAGTGGGCTAGTCTCATCTGAAAATACGTTCTCTTCAATTCATATTGAGGAGATATTTATAGATACTTGGAGTTGTGTATAAGCAAAAGCAGATGAAGCCTCAGGTTTTACAGAAGCCAGATTGCAAGCTTAGCTGAAGGAATCAGCTAAGGACTATCTGCATTTTCTTAGACACAGAAAAAGAGGAACAAGGGTGCAGTAGTGACCAGCTTTTGTGAGATAGGCCAAGCACACAAAGCAAGAATAGTTGGGAGCTGTTGTCAACCTAACAGACAAGATACCTAAGTTTTATCCCATCATTCTTTACCAACTTTCCATCTGGAATAACATTATGTTATATGTTTCGAAAAGGATTTCATATTTGAGATTTTAATTGCAAATTCAAAAACCAACTAAAATTTCAGTGCTGGCATGACTAGACATGTGGAATATGTTCATCATATTGCTGCCCTGTTTCAAATACAGTTTGATTTTGGTTAGCTGCAGAACTCGTGGTCTGGTACCACGGAAGCACCCTAGGTTCCAGTAATTATCAATACTTTAGGGAACTATTTCTATCGTATTGACTTGTTTCATGGTGTGCGCTGCCACTATGAAAGCCAGTAAATGGCCCAGAGCCATGTACTAGCCTCAGCCAGTGGTAGAGGTCCTGACCAGACTTTCCAAATACAATTTCCTGAGCACTCAGGGTGAGGACTACTTTCTTCTGAAGCCACCAGAGACACTTGTGATGACATCTGAACAACCCTCTTCAGAGAGCATTGCTCTTCCCAAAAGTGTTGCCAAGAATTTTGCTTAAGATGATGAATAAATTGAGAGGTAGCCAGTTTGAAGATATGTGGGCAGTCTGATATCTCTACTTCGTCTAAACACCATTTCAGTCTTTCGCTGAACTTTCTAAGGGTTTCAGCAGTCTGAAATGAAGCAGGCTTTCCTCCAGTTTAACCCTTCAGCTCCTCAGCTGGCACAAATCCTTCTACCCAACCAAAGTGACTTCCGGTTCTACAGAAAGAAAGATTTTCTTTATCAGAAAGTCTGTGGCTAGTGAATACATCTGGAGACTTCAGTACTGTCCAAAGCAGATGGACCACAGATGGGAACAGTGGGAGTGAAGGCTCCCTTAGAGCCCCTTTTGTTCTCCACTAGAGAGACTATTAGTTTGGTTAAGGAAGAGTTCACATTCACATTCTGCTTTGTCCCTGGTCTTTTTCCTCAGGATCCTCAAAAAGGGGACTACAGACACCAGCAGAAACCACAGTGAGGTTATAGCTAAGTGAAAGAACAGGAACTACTTCCTATCACAGAGCTAATACAACTAAAGGAATTTTTTGTACCACCTTCCCCACCCAGAAAGCAGAGAGGTGCAAGGGCATACGAAAGAGTAGCATGAGATGAGTCATGACCCCGTAACGGCATGGTGGAGGACTTCACCTTCCCACACACTGCAAGAGGATCAGGAGGCAGACAATGACACTTACCTGCTTACAGGAGAAGGGGTTAGTTAGCAGGTCCTATGCAGGCAGCAGCCGCAAATAACGAAGAAGGAAACATGCCAAAAATTAGTCACAGAGAAAGATATCAAGTTTAACAAGGCAGCTGAATTTAGACACACACTGTTTTCTAAGAGAATAAAATGCTTAGCAAGTAATACCGGCCCAGACGGTTCAAAGGTATTTCAGCATTTCTTTGCATATTTTAAATCAGCAGATGTTGGGAAACTAAGAGTTCTAGGTCTTTTCTGAAAAGAATAAATTCAGTCTCCAAAGCATAAATCTCTTAGGTCTTGAAGCATTAACTAGGATAATGCTTAAATACCTTTACAAGTCTAGTCTGGAGCCTTACTGAAAGAACCGCCAAGGTTAAAACTTGAGGGTCAGTTCTCCTCTCCTAATGCACAGGCACAGTTTGCCATTATTAGTAACAACTTGTTTCAATGGCACATTATACCGTTTAATAACCTATAGCCAAGTATTTTGAAAGCACTCTGTAACCACCAAAGAAGCCTTACAGCACTACTGGGTGACAGACACCAACTATTTCACATCATATTCCATACTCCAGGAAAACACCAGATACACTGAATCAAAAGGTCAATATTACACAGTAAGATTGGAGCAAGGTCGAAAGACAAGTGTAAGAAGTCTTGGTCCAGCACTCTGCACACTGGACAATTCTGCTTTCCCTCATAGCCACCAAAAATTATACATTGGTCTTGAGAGAGGAGAAGAGACCCTTTGTCATTAAAAAAATGAAGAAGAAAGAAAAGCTGTTTAATGTAAATGAAACTGGAAAAAATATGAAGATCATGTTAATAACAGCAAAGAAAGAAATGTCTTTATCTGTACTCATTCAACATTTCAGATGCGCAACAGCAGGGTTTTGCATTGACATTTTTCTTTACAGACATTTGTATGACGTTTAAAAGTCACAAACCCAGGGTAAATACATACTTGGGCGGAGTGGAGTATTTCCAAAAATAAAAGAGGAGAAAAGACTAAGTGTGAATCAACTGGAAAAGTGCTCATAAGATTTCGATTCAAAAGCAACTTTGGTTGCCTGGTCTTTAAAAAAAAAAAAAGAAAAAGAAAATTGAGGAGGACTTGTTGATGGGAATCCAGTTCACACTGGAGTGAGTATGGATGAAAAAGAAAGCATCACATAAAGTAATAACAATGGAATATTTAAGGAAAAAAAACCCCAAACAACAAAACCCTCAGCAAAAGCTGGAAGGACAGCAATGCACCTTACTACACAAAAAACCGAGTAGCTTACATAAGTGACACTCTAGTGTCTGGAGCCACTGTCATAAAGTGTGTTTAATGAGGATGGAAGAGAACTGTTCTGAGACCCATGGAGGTCACTCTGAGATGATGGCTCCATTCCAGTGGGCAGGGGTAAGGGTCAGGTTAATTTACGGTTGAATAGGCCAGGCTGCTTTTCAGTGATTGGTAACACAGCCATAAATATTATGATTCTAGCTGTGAGTCGGCAGAACAGGACAGCTTTGGCTTTGGATTTTGGGGCCCAAAGGAACCAAGGCTTTGGAAGGTCATTTCTAGTGAGGAAGCTGCAATGTTTGCACCCGAAACATTGGAATGGCACCTTGATGCTGCAATGGCTACTCATGTGCACAGATGACAGTCTGGCTACTTGCAAGACAACTGGGAGCCCACCACCACTGGTGAGCTGTTGGCACAGGGTCTAAATCCAGTCTTGTAACAGCACTGAAGTTTCATATGCCTTTCTTCCCCTCTATGAACTAAGTTCTTGTTTCAGGGAATGGGATTCACAGAAAGAGAGAGGGACCCACTGAAACAGCAACAGCTATTTGCAGGAGCAGAATGAGAAATGAAATGTCATCATGCAACAGGTAACATCACATTCTTCACAGTTCAAGTTGGGATGCTTATCTAGGTGGCTGTAAGCTAGTAAATCAGAAGAGTTATTCGTTATGTTTATTGGATTAGATAGAAAAATGAGAGAGAGAGAAGGGAACAGATGGAAAAGTCCAAAGACAAGGGGTTTGTCTGTTAATTTTAAGGTACTGAATAAGTTAATCATAATGACAATGAAGTAATCATCATCACTATAAGGCTTAATCATAAAGGCTGCTTATGGCAATCACGTCTGTGTCTTTTCCTAAAACTCCAGAGCAATGATCCAATTCTGCAGAGTATAGAAGATTGAATTTCTCCAAACATATTCCAAAAGCAAAGGAAAGCTGGGGGAGTTCAGCGAGTGCAAGTACAATCCCTCTCTTGCTAAATCTCATTCAGCGGAGATAGACAGATTGAAGGTGGTTTGCTTTCCAAGAAAAAGAGGAGGGAGAAAAAGACATTCTAATAAATGGCTGCTTTTAAAGTATGCTGTTTGTGTTATAATCTGTAATTCAGACAGTTTCTGTCACCTAGCCAGTTGGGTCAGTTGGCTGTTTAAGAAAAAATAGACACAGTGAAAGACAGCTAATTCAGTCACCTTGCTTTGTACTCAGGCAACTACGGACTTTTTCTCTGTATGAATGGGAGAAATAGAAAGATGGATATCGAGCATGAATGTAAAGCTCAGGAGCTTTTGGCAGCCAGTGGCTGCTGAGATCAAATAGAGCATTACCTGTTGGGAGCTGTTGTCTCTGACAGCTGCCCATTAGTATGAAGTATGTTGATAACAGGTTATACTCTGCCTTATATGTCCTCCCCACTTCTTTTGGTCTTGTGATTTTTTGAACAGTGACAGAGCAGCAAACGATGCAGCCTGACTGCAGGTGGACAAGGGCCCAGATCACTGTCATGTGTTCTTTTCTCCTCTAGAAGTTCAAGGAAGACAAGGTGTGGAAGAGTTCATCCCTACCTGGTGTCTCTGATATGCGGAGAACATCTTTTCAAAATCTTCTAGGTCCAGCACTTTGAATGCCTTTAAATCATCAATCTCATTCCAGATTGTGCCATGGATCCTCTCCTGAAAGAAAAGGTCATATTTTAATGAGATAGCAAAAGCTTTTAGCTAAGAACATCCAATCCCATTTGGACAGATCAAATTCTCCTGCTCACTGGCCATGTTCCTATGTACTACTACTGTCATTTTAGAGGGCACGCTTTGTTTCAAGAGTCAAAGGAGAAAAAAATGGTGATGTGTTCTTTGGGTTTTTGGTTTTTTTTTTTTAAACATACTGAGTATTTTGTATTTTTCATCACAGCAAGCCTCTGATGAAAGGGCACATTCCAAGACTAGCAGACCACATCTCAGGCAATACCCATGATCCCACAGTACGGTTCCTTTCATGAGTGGCCATCTGTCTAACACAATGATTGTGGTCATGCTGAAAGAAGTGTTACCATCATGAGGAAAAACCTTAGGAAGGGCACTGATGCATGACAAACCCCAGACACATCTTCCCTTCCACAAATTTTGCCAGGTTCTGTTGTAAAGCCCAAAGGGTGTGTGGTTTTCATTCTGCCTGCCTGTGAAAGTAGTTTAAGATTTTATTTTATTTTACTTTTAAGGCTCTGAGTCTTTGAAGTCTACTTGTTTCCTATTACATGATCTCCCCTGTCTACATGAGTTCTTTGTTGGCTCAGATAGACACAAACTATACCCAGATCTCTGAAAGAGCATCATCTACACTAACTGGAAATGTTCACAACCCATGTGATACATTATCCTGAATGCCAGGGAATCCTAGCTGTCTGGCAGATGATTAGCATGGAGGGAGACAGGCACAGACTCCTCCAACTTTGCTGCCCACAAACCCTGGACCAAATAAGCTCTTGTAGTACATGAATTAGCTAATCAGCAGTCGTCCTAAAGTAGGAGAAGGCCTTGGGGTCTCCTGCTGACTTTCTCAGGGCAGATGTCCTTGCTGGCAAAGAGGACACAAAGATGGAACTACCTTCTCCTTCCTACTGACTGTTAAGGTGCGTGTTGTGTGGGACAAGCTTTGGGCAATTACCCATTCAGAAAAGGAAAACTTGCTCTTCACACTTGACAACACTGTCTTTCAGTTCATTTAGTTAATGAAGTGTACATTTATTGTACTTTATTAACTGGAAAAATAAGGAAGGTGTTGATTAAAAGAAAAAGGAAATAGACAGAAGGGACTGTAAAGAGACTTAAGCAAAACCCAGGAGATGGAGAGCCAGCAGAACACTGATGCAGAGAAAGCCAGGAACAGCAAGCAACAGCAGTGAAACCCTCACGCAGGCTCCAGCTCTGAAGTACCCGACTTTTACCTACACAGCAAAGTGCATTAACACTTCATTATCAGAACTAATTAGGAACAGGCTCTACTTCCCATTCACAGTCATCAAAGGAATGAGGGAAATGTGCTAAGCCACAAGGCTCAAGGAGCAAGGAAAAACACCTGATGGGAAGATGAAATGAGGGGGAAATAAAAGTGCGAAGTGTTCTGGAGGAAATTCCTGGCAGGGCAGACACTGTGGAGGAAAACCAACACCCTCCCCTCCAGAGGCAGCCTGTGAGTGCCTGAGGGCAAGGAGGGGTGTCTGCAGTGCTATTTACAGTGAAGGCACATACTAGATGGAGCAGCACACATCCCTGAACAGGCTCACCAATATCACTGTATCATTCCCACACCCAATGGCATGCGCAAACAGAACTTTGACCCAAGCAACCCAATTTTAGTGCTTAAAAACCAAACAGGCTAATCCAGTCAAAGAAAAAATGAGGCAGGCAGAGGTATAAACAGCCTTTGTTACACAAAACACTTGCAATGGGTCTGTCCCTTCTATTTCTACCCTAAGCTCTGTCCTTGAAAACTTTCATGTTGCTGCCAGATAATTTCCTACACTGAGCTCTTGCTACTCCGTTATGGATTAACTGGCTGATAGTTGCTTGTCATCAGCCAGAGAGACTGAGCGTTTTAAGAGAAACAGACTTGCATAATGTGGTTGCTATGATAAATGATTCCCTCAGCACGATAAAAAATATTTATGGTCCCTAAATAACAATTTAAAAATAAAGTAAATTCTTCATTTCTTCTTTCCCTTTTTTCTCTGTCCTTAAAAAAAGAGAAAAAAAAAAAAAAAAGACAGGTAATTTCATCTGTAACATGCTTTTCTCCCCGTATCTATTTATTTACTTATTCATCCATTCACTCATTTATTGAGTGTACAAGTCTTCCAAGATCTGTGGTTCCTCTGCTTTGCAAAGTCTTGGCCCCCTTTGAGAAGCAAATCCTATGAACTACATTTCCCAGCGTCCTCTAGCAAAATGGTAGTACATACTAGGTTAGGAAACACCTTATTATCAGAACAAGTATTGACAAGGCATTTGGTCCATGAAGCTGAGTTTTTGGTATGTTGCATTTAAGAATTTGCTCGCTGTAGCTGCTGCAGTTATGTCATTCCACCTTTGTAATGAAGCCAAATTTGCTGAGAGACCTACCAAGATTAGAGAATGACAGTGTTTCATGGAGCTACAAATCACATCAAAGTGTCCTCTGCTACATCTAACAGATTATTTTATGTACCCTGAAAGATAAATAGTGATACTCTGCAAGCCACCAAAGTCCATCATGCCTCAATAACCTCACAGCATGAGTGAAAACTTACAGTATTTTGGGAAAGCCTTTCATTTGTCCTGCAGGTCCAGAGAAACCATAGAAACAATGAGTGTCCTGTGAATACTGGAGCAGGCAATCCTGGTTATTAGTAGGTTAATATTTGTAAAATATTAACCATCAAAAAGCGAAGCAACTTCAAATTTTAATTCATAATTCCATTATGAATCTGAAAAAGGGATCTGAACACAGTGCATTTTTCAGATTTCTCTCTTGATATCAGATCCTTTCCTCAGTGTAAGAAAAATCCACTTTGAGCAAAAATTGTATTTCTGGCATGTTTGTTAATTGAGACAGATGTTTTATCTCACTGTAGGACTAGGCACCACCAAGGCTATTATGAGTAGCTTCACACTGCGATTTTGTAGAAATCTTTCCATTAATTTTGAATCTCTGGCAGCAGTCCTGCATCATTGTTTGCCATGATCCTCAGGCTGCTTTTAGGAAGAAAGTTCCAGAAATCAGAATCATCAATAACATTACAGAAACATTTTAAAAAAAAATAGTATCAAAATGAACATTTTCTGTTTATGGGATTGGTTTTTTGGGTTTTGGTGGTGTTTTGTTTTTTTTTTTTAAATCCTATGTGGTATGTAGAGCAAATACCTTTCTTCTGAGCCAATTTCACCCAGGTCTATTTAGGGCTGGCTAAAGAAAGCCCTTTTCAGATCACTGACTAGAGTCATTACCAGCCTGACTCTTAATGGGAAGCTGCTTCTCCAGCCATGAGATAACAAGCAGCACAGCTGAAGGTTGACTTGATTTACTCCAATAACGTCAAGTCAATATGTTTATAACTATTAAAGAGGTATTTATATTAATCCATACTTCCAGTGTGCTTGAAACCAGTCCATCATTTGGATTAACCATAAATGTCTGGTCCCTGTTTGACCTTGGGTGTTGTGTAAAATTCAGAGTGGGAGAGCAAACTCCATTTGCTGTCCAGAAACAAAGAAAGGAATCTTTCCAGAACATTACAGTGGTTACATTGCAATATCTTTTTCTTAAAAAACAGAGATCCTTGGCACTAGCACTACTGTAGTGCTGTATGAATGGAATTCACAGACGATGCTACGGCGCTGTATGAAAGGACCTGTGGTGTGGAAAGGCTTAACCAGAACTCAGCCCATCCATGCATCTAAATGGCTTTGCCACTGGTCATCAGCTCACATCAAAGCTACTACAAAATCATTAATTCTCAAAGGAAATTAGTGGGGTTTTGGAGTTTCCTTGTTAGAAGCACGAATACTTTCCAGTCAAACCTTTTTTCGTGGTGCTCATGGGAACTGTGGACAATCTGTTATTGTCAACTGCTAAGAGTTTGAATATATTTGATCATTTTCCTAACACCCAACAGCTCAGTCCTTTCCTTCCAAAGACAATATCAGCATTGGGAAAAAAGGTGTCTGTCATATGAATTGCCCTGGAGAACAGCCTTGATTCCGCTACTGAGAAAGTGTATCGCAGACAAATCCCTCTTGGCCAGCCCCGTCCACACTCCCCTTGGGCTCTGTTGGCTTTCTCTCACTCCCTTGAGGCAGGCTGCATGGATAGAAAGGGGTTCGCTTTCATGTGGGCTGCCTCAGTCCTGGCATCATCTTCAGACGTAAGAAAGCTTAGGAGAGAGACTGTACTAGCTGCTTTGAGAAGGATGGTCTAGACAGTATGCAGAGATACCCAAGAGCTGAATAACGTATTTGACCTGGCTGCAGCCCCGAGTTTGTGTACAGCTCTGTCTCCAACACTGTGTCACCTCACCTTGCTGTGTTGCATGGTGCAGACATGCCTGTGCTCTTCACTAACTAGACCAGTCTTTTAAAAAAGAAAAACATATACATGGTGTCAGATGTATTTTTCCTCAAAATGTTTTTGTGGGGAAAACTTGTATTCACGTGAACTGGAAGTTAAACACTACCACGAACCACAATAATACTATGCACACTTCCAGGCCTCAGTTTCCCATGCTCAAAAACTCGAGATACGCTGCTCCCAGCCAGTGTGCTTATTGTGAGTCTTCATTCATTCATGTATGGCTACTTTGACAGTTCAGGAGAACACCACAAAAGTGCCGCAACGGTAACAAAAGGCAAGATGAGGCCATCCAACCTACCTGTGACTATGCATTCAGAGGATTCATATCCATGTGAACAGAGAAAAAGTGCCTGGTACTGAAGCAGGGAATCTAGGATAACTGATGAAGATGGCCAAAACGTATTGCTTCCTCCAGCAGTCAGTGGAATTAAATAATTCCATAACAAAGTGCACCCCAAATAACAAGGCAAGCCACCTGTGTCTGCACCACAACCTCTGCAGTTTTGCAGAGACCTTACTAGGTCAAAACACTAACACAGCCAAACACCCCAAAATGAACCCCCCACCCTCTTCTGCCCCTTTTCCCAACTATTCCCAACTATTCTGTCTTCCTCAAAATAGCATCTTTTACCCACCTCACCACCCAGGTCTTCAATTTTATTAGCACAGCTGCCTTCACTCCTAACCAGAGGGCAGGATAAGCCTACAGTTACTGTACACTAAACAGAAACACCTGTGACTCTCTCTTTTTCATATACATTCATATATATACATATATTAGTTATTATTTCTTTTCTTCAGAGCACTAAGTCCCATGTTCTGCAAAGGAAAATAAATCCCCGTCCTTACATTCTCTCCCACACCCCCCACGTGGCCTTGACAGACAAGCACAGACGGTGCAGCAAATATTTCACTTCACTTTATTTTAAAGAAAAGGAGAGAGGAGGAGAGAGAATTCTTGTGGCATTCCAGAGGTCCCTGGACACTCATTCCAAATGCCGGAGTTGGGCCCTGGGTGAGTTTCAGTCTAAAAGAGAACCTGGGTTTCTAGGCAGCCATCCAAACTCAACACAGACACTTTTTTTCTTTCTAAATCAGTTAAAAAAAAATTAAGACCTAAAGAGAAGGAGGGGGAGGGTGGGGAAGGGAGAAGGAAGAGAGAGAAGTGGAGGGGAAGGAGAGGCAACCAAGGTAGCAGAAAATGAGTGCAACAGGAAGAATCCAGGTCCTCTTTTTATTGCCAATTTCGAGTTTTATCACCAAGAGACAGAGTTGTAAACATGCAAGGAGAAGGGCAGCTTCCCTCATGGCCATGAACAAATGGTGAGGAGAATCAGGCCACCTTTCTCTCCTTGGTGATGGCTCCTGCCAGGGTAGAGAAGGCTGGTTTTGGAGCTGTTTCTTATCATGTTTTGCCCACATTGGCTCTGGCCATCCTTTTCCATGACACACAAGTGAGGGCAGCTCTGGCACACCAGTCCTGGAGACGTCCAGTTCTGGCTAATGTCTTCAGTCCCACTACAGCTTTGCCTAACAGCTGCCCCGTCTACTGCAGCTCAATCTAATCAGCACCTTGGTCATCACAGGAGATATGCTGCACTGCTGGAGAACTGGGGAGACTCCCTCAAGACAGTTACTGACTCCTACTGACCTCAGCCCAAGGAAAGCCACAATATCACTGGCTTCTGTCACCTTGCACTTCTTGGCATTAATCAACACTGAGTTATACTTAGAAAGTAAATTAATTGTTGGGAGTACTGCAATTTCTTACCTCACTCAGCTTAGCCCAGTTGAAGGATTTCAGTGGGTGTGAAGGCTGAGGGATAGATTTCTTCTTCAGGTTGGTGCCACAGCTGCTGAAGGTGGTTGTTGAAGGGGGTGGCATCCCCATGCTGAAGAAAGGTGGTGCTCCTGGTGGGGGAGGAGGTCCTCCTGGTGGAGGTGGTGGAGCAGGAGGAGGAGGACAGCTGGAGAAAGGCAGAGGAGGTGGCAGCGGGGGCAAATTCTCAGACATGTGAGAAGAGGACAAAGCTAATGGGCCACCTGGAGGGGGTGGGGGTGGGGGTGGGAAGGAAATGCTGCCCCCTTGCTGGAAAATAAAAAACACACAGAAAAAGAAAGCAAACAGTTTAAAAGGCACAATAACTCCATATTGCCAGCTGATGTGATTTTATTATGAGTCTCAAAATATTTGATGTTTTCCTTAAAGCCTCCTGCACTCAAAGCCATGCAATAAAGGGAGGAATCTCAGCTTTCATTTAAGAGAAAGTTTCAAGCCCTTGAAGTTGTGGAGAAGAGCTTGAAAAAAGGAACCATAAATGGCTCAGAAAAACAGAAAGCTAGTAAAAGAAGCCAAAATGTATTATTTTCTCCTTATGTATGAAAAAAGAGAAAAGTTCAATCTTATGAACTCTTGAACTCCTGGGTTTTAAACCTTAAGGTTTGAAATACCGAATACCTGTCATTAGGCCCCACTAATGCTAAGTGGGAGAGGGGAGGAGGGAATGAATCTGCTTTCTGCAGTGTCTAACTTCTCAGGGCCATGTCCTGGCAAGTTGAGGCTCAGGCACACTGCCGGGACAGAAGGAGCACCAAGCAGGAGGGAGCCGCTGCAAATGTCACTTCTGCAGAACTCCAAGGCAGTACAGACGCTCTTGAAGCATGACAGGAATCCTGTTTCTTCACTAAATTTACTTTCATATCTAGGAGATTTCTCTCTATTCCACTGAAATAACAACCCCACTTCAGAAGGCAAAATTACAGCTGGAGGAAGACGTGTGTGACTCAGCAGCTCCTGCAAGGAAAGTGGCTGAGGAGAAGGAATGGAGCAGCCCATGCATTACCCATTCTATACCACCAGCTCAGGGATTTCGGTCTCAACTAAAAGCTGAGAAACTTCTAAGTATTCATCTTTCTAGCTGTCTAGACAGACTCTCCCTGTACTGACCATAGAAAGTGTTTCTCTCATAACGTGCTTTTGTTCATCATTCATTAGTTAGCAGGCTTTAAACAAGGATAGGAAGAGTACCAGTCTCATACCGAGAACTCATTAAGTTGAGCCACCAGGTCGTTCATCTGGTCCCGGGTCTGGCGCAGCTCCAAGGATTCCTTCTGCAGCTTGTCCTTCATTTTGTTCAGTGTCTTCATCATTTCATCTTTCTCCTGGGTCTTCGTCTCACATTCCCGCTCCTTCTTCTCTAGCCTGCTCATCAGCTCAGCATGATCTAGGGGGAACAGGCAAGTGGGGCTGATGAAATAAAGCTCCTGAACAGTCCCCAAAGGGACGCAGGTTATGCTGAAATAAAGCTGACAAATCTGTCAGTTCAACTGGGGACATATGAGAGTAGGAAAAAGAAAACAGAGTCTGACTGTCTTGACAGTGATCTTCAGTGATCAGGACAGCAATGTCCAAGTTTCACTTAGACTGTAAAATCACTTCATGTAAGGACCGAGGGCAGCCCCATCCTATGAAACAGATAAACTGATCACCATGAGACAAAATGCACTGGAGGGAACAAAGCAGAGTTTGTCCATGACAGGAAAAGTTGTCCCCAGCTCTGCTGCCCGCTGCTCTGTGACTGAATCAGGATCAATCTTGCCCCCTCTTTTGCCTCCCCAAGCATAGAGGACGCACTCACCTTTCCGAAACTTCTCTGCCTGGTCCCTCCACTGTTTGACTTCATTTTCGTTCACCAGCCTGAAAGATTAAATCAGGTCATTTAAACTCATTCTGAGCTACCCAGGCTGAAAGGCAAGTGGCCATTATGTGTAGTGATCAGCAAAAGGCAACCTGGTGAATTTACATGTTTATACAGGATCATATGAGTGGTCAGTCTGGTTCCAGATCCTGATCCCTACTGTAGCCAACAGCTAATATAGATGTGATGGCTTGTTGCTAAAAGTTCTGAAAAGGGATAAAGGAATGGCTGGGGAAAAAATCCAGATATGTTCCTGTCTTAGGTAATGCCCTCAAAGTGCTAAGTCTAGTTATTTTGAAAGAGAGAATTTGTCACTAAAATAATCATAGCTGCTGTGGGTTACAAATTACCCCACCCTTAATACGAGACCAGATTGCCATCTTTTTTTCTACTTTCTGTGGTTCTATTTTTTCTTTCTTACAGATGATGCTTATCTATAGGGTAATATATCAGTAACAAGGCAATGCTCATATCTCATATTGGCACAGCTATTTCCTATTACTGACAGAAAATATGCAGGGCATGCTGGGGATTGATTAGATATGCAGAATGAGGAGTAGCTATGAAAGTAGAAAGGGAAGATCAGGCACGAGGTCTACAATGAAGTCTGATATCCAGACAGACAGAAAGAGATAAACACCAGTGTATTCTTCCATGATGAGACATCAGTTTTGATTTTGGCTCATGCCTGCAACAGGAGGGACTGTAAGATTTTTAGTGCAGGAGAATTTGGTTTCATATGAGGCTTATGCCCTATAAAATGCTCTTTTCAGTGGATAATTCAGAAGGGTAATGGGCCATGAATTACCTGCAGAGGCAGATGGATGGGATGAAGAGTCCAAAAGTTTGGCTAAAAAAGGACTGAGAACAGGGAAGTTGAGATGAGAGCCAGCTCATGTAGCTAGACTTCTCAAATGATGCGTCCTATGGGAAAAAATAATGGTAGTGCCCTCAGCCAAGTCTGTGGGTGAGAGCATGCAGACGTTTTGTGAAGAGGTAAAAGGTTTTGTGTGCTAGGTGGGGGCTGCTTTCCACTATTTGAAATCTTTCTAAACTATGTGATCATTAGCAAGGAATGAGATCTAAGTAGAAATGACCACTTTTTTTTTTTTAATATCAATGAAAGCTTTCATCAACATTCTGAATTAAAAAAGGCACATGAGGAGGCCTTGTTATAAGATCATGGGTATTTAATAGAAATTAGAAGCCAAAGGCAAGGACTTTGCTAGAAAATACTATCTGGTTAAGATGTCATTAGAAAAAAAACTATTTAGAAGACTGACAACGAGAAGCTGTAAGTTAAAATAAGAAACTCCTCAGATATGAGATTTTATTTCCTAAGCACCTGGATACTTATCATATACTTATACCTGCCTAACAGAAATAAACAATAATAACACAGCTTACATTTTAATGATATTTTTGACATTGAAGTTTTCCAATGGAGCTATATCTGGATCATCTCCTCGTTCATCCTGAAGAACAATTTGTTGGAGTATTCTGTCCAACAGCTGCCACTGCTGGAAGTTTGCTCCATTCCTCTTATCTGTATGGAAAAAGACCAACCCATGAGAACTTCCATTTCCATGCCAAAGTGCACAGACCTGCCA